GAGCAGGCATGAAGAAAACATTTGTTTCTCTTCTCTGCTTGGCTGTCAGGTGTTTGGGAGCTGGCCAGGAGGAAAGATAGTGCCACAGGAAACCGCAAACCCAGTGTCAGCTGCCTGGATGTCACAGGTTATACAGACTTCTGGGGTGACACTTCTCTCCAGCATCAAGCAGAGTGGCAAGGACCCCATCCCACATGTGGTGGAAGCCAGCGTGCCCCTCCCCGCAAGGAGCTTACTTGTCTCCTAGTCACCTCTTCTTTCAGATTTCTTGCTTCCACTGCACTCTTGAGCTACCGTGTGTCTTGCCTCCTAGAACTGCTCCATTCTCCCCACTGTTTTGTCCCAGGCTGGACACTGCCCTAAATCCTTCATTTTCTCCAAAGCACAACATGAAGCAGTGGCGTAGAACAGTGTTTGGAGCAATGGAGTGGTTATAGGAACAACAGGAACAACAGACCTCATTGGTGGGAAAGCCCATCAATTACTGCCACCTGGGGGAATTTCCCGCTGGCCGTTCCATCCCCTGGGCCCATCTTGATGCTGTTTCTCAGGTGCATCCTTCTCCTCTCTCCAGGCCTTTCTTCCCTTTGTAGGGGCCAGTCTTCTCCGGATTTTGATTTCTTTCTCATGCATAGCATCTAGCTCTCCATCCCTTGCTCCCATCTAAGCTCACGTCTACCTTTGCAGATCTACCAGCTCACCAAGGTGCTTTGCTAAGCAGAGGTCTCTGACTTCGGGGTTCTGCCCTTAAGCTGCATGAAGACCTGACAGAAGCTTTGCAATCGCATGATCAAAGTTATAACTAGGACATTTGTTCCCCACAGTCTCTGTAAGAGAGAGGAGGACAGTATATTGGTTAGGATAGGATATCGGTGCAGCTCGATGTCAGAGACCCACAATAACAGTGGCTAAAAGAATCGAATCTTAGCTTCTCCACACGTAGACGTCTGAGCTGGACTTGGGACTCTGCTACCTGGAGTCATCCTCAGGGATGCAGGTTCCTTCTATCTGATTGCTCTGCTGTCCCTGAGGTGTTGTCTTCATCACCTGGTTCCAGATGGTGCATGGCTACCTTCCACTCCACCCAGCAAGAAGGAGTAGAAAGCCAGGGGAAGCCGTTTTCTTCTAGGGCATAATGTGGAAGTCACTTACACCACATGCCCTCACATCTATTGGCCAAAACATTATCACATGCCTGCAAGAGAGGCTGTGAAACAGTCTTTATTTCAAGTGACCGTGTGCCCAGCTGCAAATTGGGGCTACTCCAGAACTTCACTGCTCAATACTGGTAGCCACTACCCCCATGTGGCTATTTAAATCTAAAAGAATCAAATAAAATGTCAAATTCAGTTCTTCAGTCAGCCTAGCCACACTTCAAATGCTCAACAGCCACATGTAGCTCATGGTGACGGCATTGCACAGGGCGGATATAGAACATTTTCATCATCACAGAAGGTTCTACTGGACAGTGCTGCCAGAGGAGAAAGGGGCACGATTGGCAGTCACTGTCACCAGCAGTATAAAGATTTACTCTGCCCCTTTCAAGAGTAAGTCCCTTGGGGTTGGGGACTTTGTCCAGTACGGCTCTGTGCTGTGGTTGCTCCCTCGTTTGAGCATGCCCTGCAGCTAGCTGTTCACCCTGCAGTATCCTTGGATCTAACACAGGCCTGGCACAAGTAGACAGTCACGAGATGTCGCTTCCCTATGTGCCCCCTACCCGCCATGCCCTCATCCACACTCACGGTTCCCCTCCCCTCTATGGAACTTAGTTACAAAGTCCTGTGCCACCACCCTGATGGGGAGACATCATTAATCACTTCCCCATAACAGAGGAGATGAGACTTGGCCAAGGTGAGGGAGTGAAGTGTCTGCCAGGGTGAGGGCTCCAGCTCTCTCTCCCTCCATCAGCGTCTGCTTTGATGCAAGGGAAACCCTGACAGTGACAGATGACCACATTCTCAAGCCTTTTTAAGAATTCATGGAAAGAAAATAACCCCACTTACTTCCAGAAGAGAGGGAGGTTATTCTGACTAACTCGGCCCTCAGCCTTCAGGTACGTTTGTCTTGGACAATATTTGCTGGGAACCTCGTGGGCCACCTGAGAATCCATGCCAGGTCTTTATGCTGGACCCTCAGAGCCAGGGCACTTTGTCCCTTGACCCTTTGCTTCTAGGTGCTCTGTGACATTATATCCCCTTTCTCTAGACCAGGAATTTACATGCTATGACATTCCAGAGCCCCTGTATGGTAAAGGGGTGAGGGAGGAGGCCAAGGGTGTTTGAAAGTTTCAGCATTAGTCCCTCAGGTCAAACATCTGTGTTTCGGCTCTTGGGAGAGAGGGAGGAAGCGTGAAATCGCTAATTCTTAAACTTTGTGGGGTCACATTACCCGTATGAAAATTCGAGACTGTCTCCTCAGAAAAATGCATGTACACACCAAAATCCACAAATATCTTGGAAAGTTCACGGACCAACTTAATTAAATTGTGTTATCATTTGGCTTGAAGTCCCAAATGGTCACTGTGGTTTCTTAACATTTTATGAGAGAGCATTATCAAGCTTAAAGAAGTCCTCCAAGGCCCTAAGCTCATTAAGGGCCAGGCTTAATAGAGGCCAGTCGTAGATTGATGTCACAGCTTGTAGGCTCCATTTTCTTTCTCTTTTTTTTTTTTTGGATTTCTTTGTTTCTGGGAATATGAGGATCTCCTACTCTAGAATGACGCCCCAGGGATAAAAGCAGCCACATCCACCAGGGCTGAGAAAATACCCGAAGGTTCAGCCAGAAGCACAAATTACCCAGATTGGAAGATAGGGAAATGAAAATGCATGAGGCTCAACCGCACAAACTTTCAAACGAGAAAATAAAATTCCTGATTTGAAATCTCCTTGGGGAGCAGAGTTCTTTGCTCTCTGATGGGAACAAAAGGTTACTGCCTTGCATAGTGGATGTTTTCTCCTTAGAGCGTGGGCGGCTTGTTGAGAGGCTTCCTGAGGCCTCTTGGCTCAAGTGCAGGGAGCGAAGCGTGAGTGGAAGGTGGAGTGAAGCGTGGAGGGGCCCCACATGCAGAGACTGGATTATTAGGATGTGTGCTGTCACGTGAGGCTGCCATCTATGACACTCTTAACCCTTTCTGCTTTGCCCAGAGCTGCAGCTCCCGGGGCAGCTGGTGTTCATTGTCTCAGAAGCTCTGCCCCTTATATCAGTGGTTCTCAGCCCTAGCTGCGCATTAGGACCCCCTGGAGAACTTTAAAACTACTGCTGCCCAGACACCGCCATTTGACTGGTCTGGAGTGGGTCCCAAGAGTCCCTGGAAATAAAAGCTCCCCGGGTGATTCCAATGCACACCTAGGGCACAGAATCATCACTTTAAAGTGTTGCTTGAAACTATCAAAAGTTTTCTGAGGAGCTGTAGAGAATTTAGAAACTTAATAATCAGAGAAAAGCTAAAAGGACTGTTCCTTTAACAAACATGACTGCCTTAGAGATGGGAAAACCATGTCATCAGAGAAGCCTGACCAGGAAAATGGGCTTGTGGGTCTGACATTCATCCTCCTTTCAGTCCTTAAATAACAGATTCTGATCAGCTTCAGTAATGAAACTGAAGTTCTGTTAAATACTTAATAAGATGAGAGTTTCCAGAGAGAATTAATTAAGAATGAGTTTAATACTATTCCAATTAGGTGTGGGCTAAATAATGCACTGCATGATAATTCAAACCAGAGATCAAGTAGGCTATGGGAGTCCCTCTGGTCAGGGAGGGGGTTACTGACAGCTCAAAGGTGGGGAAGTTTGGCTGTGCACATTACTTGGCAATAAAATCTAGTGAATTTGCACTTTGACAGGGTTTAATACTATTCCAACGAGGCTAAATGTCACTATTCTTCCAACTAGATTATTCTTGTTTTTAGGAAGCAGATAGAAGATTAAGGGTGACCCCTGGGGACTGTTCAGTCATATGTCAGAGCAATCAGTAAGTTGGAGGTTTTAGTTTGGGTTCCCACAGACTCGTGCTCCAAAACAAGGATTCCAGGACAAGTAGTTCATTTGGAAGGTGATCCCAGGAAACATTGGAAAGGCAATGGAGAAGGGATACAGGGAAGGAAAGAAAGGCTATAAAGGATATGTAATTAGGTAGTTACCACTGAGGGCAACATGCAAACATGCCTCGGTCACCCCAACTGAGATGCAAGGAAACTGGGCTTGTTATCCACCAAGTCCCTATCCACCATGGGTTGAGGGCTACTTCTAGAACATTAACTCTCCTCTTCTGGCTCCCAGGCCTAATGTGCTCCCCTGGCCAGGCAAAGGCTCTCAGAGACAGAGTGGCAGGTATGCGAAATAAGCAGCCTTTGGTGTGTAAAGACAATATGGGCAAGGCACTGACAGTGTCTGCTGCAGTGGATGAATACTGAGAGTAAAGCTGTTATTCATCCATCGATCCATCCATCCATCCATCAACCCATCCAACAGAATCATAATCAAATGGTAGACATATACAATTCAGAATAAGTGCTGGTCACATAAACTCTTACAGATTTCTGTACAGTGGTCTTGTGGAGAAGAACCAGGAGGGTATACCAGTCCACCACATTTCTTTTCAACTGCCTGCCAGTCTCCCAGCCCACCTGATCATTAAATCCAGGAAGAATTGTTTCCTCTGACTCTCCAAAAATCTGGTGTGCTTAAAACTTCTTCCTTCTATCACCCACTCCCATTCCAATGCTCAAAACTCAATGACAGGGTAGCAGGTGGGATACCATTAGATCTGGCCCATCAGAGATAAAGGGAGAAAAGTCACTTGGTAAGAGCCACCGACACTAAAGGAGATGAGAATTGCCTGACTGAGCTGGGGCTGGGTCCCCTGACCTTCTTGCCATTATTAACTGCTCTGCTCCTGTCAAAGCAGCCTTTTGCCGTGACCTCCAGACCCAACTAAAAGCATGAATTCTTTAACAGCTATCCGATATTTCTTTCTACTAACTGAGTAAAGTGATTCTTACCAGTAAGAAGCCAGAAGTGAGCCAGAATCCAGGGTCATTGCAGGCAGAGGGGAGGAACCATCTCGGGTGAGTGAAATTCAAATGCAGTCATTTTATCCTTTAACAGAGCCAAACAGAAACACCTACTAAATCTTCAGGCTTTAAAAAGTAACAAATGCTGTGCAAAATCAAATAATCTCACTCCATCCAAGGCCTTCCTTTCTGCAGGGCAGGGTTTGGGGTGAGGCAGGGGATAGGGAAGGATGCAGTGGAGGAAAGTGAGGGCCAAGAAAGGGGGAGCTTAAAGGGGGAAGGGCTGGCACCACCTGGCACAGAGAACCAGGCTCCTGTGTTTGCTCTGCTCATCTCAGGAGGTGCCATCAGTCAGACAGACAGCAATTACCCCTTCTCTGAGAGTTCGCTCATATCTTAATGGTCCGCCTCTCAAATTCTCTGCTCCATCCCTTAAAGGTAACAACACACTCTTGTGTGGGGGACAATGAGGACCTTTAAACCATAACATTATCTCTTTTTCTTACTTCAGAATGCCCAGAAAAACGTCAATTAAATTTCTAAGGCTTTAAAAAATACTTTCTATTAAAGACATACATTAAATACATTACGCTTCCTCCCAACTTATGATTTTTTTAGAGACAAAACTAATGTAGCCCTAGAGTCTTACCCAGTTCTGGCAGACTTTAAAAATTCTCTTTATGGCCTTTTCTGGTTATAAAAATAATTCACCTCATAAAAATTCAAACCAAACAGAGATCAAGAAGACTGTGGGAGTCCCTCAGGGTCAGGGTTGGGGGTTATGAACAGCACAAAGCCGGGAGTGTCTGCTGTGTGTGTCACTTGGCAATAAAACCTCGAGACTTTGCACTTTGACGGGGCACTAATGTCAAAATGGCTTCATCACACAGGCCTCTTTCAAATGTCCCACCTCCTGGGGATGGTGAGGTGGAGGCAGCAGGCTGCTGGCCCATCCTATTATACAAATCATGTCTTCTATTAAAGACATACACAGAACACGGTTCCACCCGTGTTCACTGAGTCCCCAGCAACGAGAAGGCATTGATGAGCAGGGCAGACAGGAGACAGATTTCTCCAAGATCTCGCCTCTCCACGGCCGGTGGTGAAGGGAGATAGACCTAAATAAAATAGCCACACTCTTCATGCACAATTGTAATCAGTGACAAGAAGTGCTGAGGAAAGGAACTTGGTTCTAAGAGAACATGTAACAGAGGACTCTGCCCTAGATGGGGGTTAAGGAAGACTCCCCTGACGAAATAATGCTGAGATTAGAAGGAGGCGGCATTAACTAGAGGAAGGGGTGGGGCAGTAGGATGGGGAGCCCTAGGCATTGCAGATGGCAGCAGTGCAAAAGCCCTGTGGTAGGAGGGGATCTCTGCATTTCTAGGGACTGAAGGAAGGCTTGTGAGGAAGAAAGTGGTGGATAATGCAGTGGAATCAGGCAGTGTTTGCTAGTCAGGCTAGGGGTCTGCGAAAACTCAGGAGGGTTTAAGCAGGATTTGCGAGCATGTGGGTCAGTGGGGGATAGAGGCATGCTCACGCTAGTTGCAGTTGGAAAGTGGACGGGGCAGGGCAAGAGAAGTGGCAGCGTTGTTGATGGGTGTAACCCCAGCTGGTGGGCTATTGCAGTTCTCCTGGCCAAAGCAGCCGGACATATGCCTCCAAACCCTCTTATAGCCAGAAACACAGCATTATTGCTTCTGCGACTGGCTTCCAGACACCAGTCCACCTCGCCAGCCCAACTGCATCAGCTCCCCCGAGGGAGCTTCCTGAGCTCCTGTAACATATCGATTCTTATTTAGTAGGTCTCAGGAAGGCCTGGGAATCTGGAGTTTTAAAGCTTCTCCAGGTGACTCAGATGTGCGTCCACAGTTTTGCAAGTTTTCTCCGCAAAGATTTGCTTGGGAAGATGGTGTTGAACCCTGAACTGAGCACTGGATGCTAGTTCAATTCCACCACTCCTAACAGTGTGACCTCAAACAAACGGCTTCACCTCATGAATCTCAATTTCATCATCTATAAAATGGGGGTGATCATTTTCTTCTTGTGTGCCTGGTGGGTAAGGGGTGTTTTGAGGATCTAATGAGATGATGAATTTGAAAGCATAACACAAATACCTGATACTCCCTACCTGCAAACAAACAATAGTTTTCAGTGTGGAAAAGGCATTCAGATTTTATTACTTGGTGCTTTGGCCCTTTTTTTCTCTGGCTACCTTGTGTAAGGGAGGGCTGTCTAATGGAGCTTCGTTCCAAATGCCCCCTCCCAATTCACTGAGGAGGGGGTGCATCTCCCTCCCCCTTCCTTAAGGATCTGCCCTCCTTCTAGGCAATGGCCACTGTGTCCCCTTTCACATGCTCATACGCTCGTCCCCGCAGCAGCCAGTATTGCTGTTCCCACTGCCTTTGGCAGTACATCAGCTAACGGTTGCTACGTGCCAGGCACTGAACTAAACTCTGTACACATATTATTAAAAATTGTCCCTATCACCCCCCTTAAAAGACGAGAAAACTGAGCTGTAAAGAGGTCAAGTAATTTACCGAAGGTCATGTGGCCAGGAAAACAAGGAGCTATTTGAACCGATTAAACAATCTGTTGTACCATCATTTGTAGGAGGGGTCTGACCATTAGGCTCAAACTTCACCTTTGCCTTTCTTCCAGAGGAATAGAATGCTATCAGGCAATGGTGACTCCTGGGGTGAGTGTAGATCCAACCTTGAGCCTCATTAAGCAATGGAAATGCTCATAAGGTTGTGAGCCCCCTGGGGGCAAGGACACCCTCATTCATCTTTGTGTGAATGGCACAAAGCAGGTGTTTGGTAAAGTTTGTTGATGAATGAAGCATTGGCAAGATGACTATGGGGGAAGAAAAGCATTTATCAGTGTACTGCTAGCTTCCAACACTTTGTGTTGAATCTGGAACAATAACAATGTTAACTTAAAAGGTAAGTGGTGCTTTACAGTTTACACAATGTAGCAACATAATATTTATCCCGTGAGATGATTTTTATCCCCATTAGAAAGAAGACAAAAGTGAGGCTCGGGAGGTTAAATGACTTGCAAGGCTACAGTGTGAATTGCTGCAGAGAGCACCAGCATGGAAGTCAGACAGACGGATTATAGCCTCGATTGCCCTAGTTACCATGTGGCTATGTGGCACTGAACTATGTATTCATGCCCTAGAATCCCCACATTACTCATAGGTAAAATGGAGAAGTTTATAGCATCATTTACATAGTATTTTCTTGAAGATTAAATGCGATCATGCATAAAAGCACCAGGCACATAGTAAGTGTTCAGTAAAACTAGCTCTTGCTAGTGGAGATAGAACTGGTGAACTCTGGTCATCTGACTTCAGTTGAATGTTCTTTGCCCCAGATTTGAAGTTTGTGGCCAGTATGTTTATATTGAACAAATACATGGCAGAATATTATAGAGAATTTATGAAAATATTTACCAAAAGAGGTGGCATTTGCATTGATGAAAACCAAAGTAATAGGACCCTCAGGACTGACCAGTGCTGGGTATCTTTGACAAACTTGGGTCCTTATTTTGAAACTAAAAAAGATGGTCCCCTCTGCTTATAACTACAGTGGCCAGCACAGTGACCCTGGCTCATCGTTACCAACTAATTTCAGTAGTTACATGAGGCATCACTTGAGAATGGAATATCATTCATTCATTCAACAAACATTTATTGGGCACCTATTGTGTGCCAGCCACTGTGCTGGGAGTCAGGATGCGATGGTGAACATAAGAGGCCAAGTCTGCAACTGCATGAAGTTCACAGTCTAGTACGAACACTGGAGAGGTTGCTCTTAGCCCTGGAGAATCTTGGGACCCAAAGAGCCACACCCCTGGTGGAACACGGGACCTCTTGAGCAGGCGGTGACCAGGGTATGTTATGATCCATTTTCTCTTAGTGGTAAAGCTGTGAGCAAGTCTCAAAGCCCATTTCTTTTTGGAGGAAGCACAGGTAAGAACTGGTTATAGAAATAAAGCAGAGAGGAGAGGGCCTTCTTTGAGTGGGGTCCCAGGACCCATGAAAACCTCTTCTGATGGCAGATATCCTCTGGCTGGAGAGAAAATCCCATGCCTTATCCTGATCTAATCTGACTGTCCTTTTTTTTTTGCGGTACGCGGGCCTCTCACTGTTGTGGCCTCTCCCGTTGCAGAGCACAGGCTCCGGACGCAGGCTCAGCGGCCATGGCTCACGGGCCCGGCCGCTCCGCAGCACGTGGGATCTTCCCGTACCGGGGCACAAACCCGTGTCCCCTGCATCGGCAGGCGGACTCCCAACAACTGTGCCACCAGGGAAGCCCTTGACTGTCCTTTTAAATGTTATCCCAAAGGATGTGTATTCTTGACTGGATGGGACAGGGAAGGAAGCCCCTTTGATCTTCCATGATGAGACTTACTTCCCTTCAATGTAGATTCACAGAGAGCTGGTAGCTTAGTAGAGAGATTTAAGTTATCCAGAATTAACAACTGGAAACATAAACAACATTTATGGTCTTAGCCTCTTAGCTACTGATATAGAGAAAACCAGAGTTAAAACATTGGTTTACAGGTCCTCTTCCTAAGCAATGTGTTTATTTCCAAAGAAAATGTGTTCTCATTTCCAGACCCTATTTTCTGAGTGTCCCAAGCCTAGCACTGGAGCTGGCAGAAAGGACCCAGCTACAATTTGTGTCATGCCTTTTCATTTGTACGAAAGGCAGGGACTTCCCTGGTGGCGCGAGGTTAAGACGCCATGCTCCCAATGCAGGGGGTCCAGGTTGGATCCCAGGTCAGGGAACTAGATCCCACATGCATGCCTCAACTAAGAGTTCGCATGCCACAACTAAGGAGTGGGCGAGCCGCAACTAAGGAGCCAGACTGCCGCAACTAAGACCCAGCACAACCAAATAAATAAATATTAAATAAAGAAAAAAGAAAGGCAAATGTCTTATATAGGACCTGCCTCCTAGAATCAGCTTGGGAATCAAATGAGATCATGTATGTAAAACACTTAACTCAGTGCCTGGAATGTTATAAAACATAACTATTTGTAGTGGATCTCTGATGTTGGTCTGCCTGACACCCATCTCTCCTTTGGGGAACAGTCCCTCTCCCATTTCATATGGCCTTGGTAGGCGTGGAACCCAGACTGGGCTGATCGTGGTACCCCTTCTCCCACCTGTGGCAGGAGAGAGTTAGGCCAACATGCAAAAAATGTGCAGAAATGAAAGCTGGGTGGACAGAGAGAGGGTCCTGGCATACTTGGGACCAGTGTTGGTCCCTAAATCCGGGTTCCTATGCAATAGCTCCTTATTCAATTCCATGAGCTTCCCTGAGTCAAGACACAAGGGTGAGCAAAAAGTTCCCCTTTTGCTTAAGTTGGGTTTCTATAACAAACTGTTCGGATCATGAGGTTGTGAGGGCATGAAGCTGTAAGCCCGAACGACAGGAGGATGGGGTGAGGCACCGCCCTTTCAGGTGCCCACAACTGAGAACTGAGAATGTTCTTGGTACATTCCCGGGGTCTTAGTCACTGATGTTTCAGCAGGCTGCAGAAAGTCTCCTTTCATCTGCCTCTCACCTGTCCTGGATGAGTCACATTACTTGACTCACCACCGAAAGTCACCCTTCCCTTCCGAGTCTCAGAGACAACAAGTAAGCCGAGAACTTGAACTGTGTCTTAGTGATGGGGACCCCTCACCTGTTTAGATGAGGAAGGATATCCAGTGGTCTCTGTAGGTCAGTCACAGCCCAGGCCAGGGGCTGGAAGAAAAGCAAAGTGGGCATAATGAGCAGTGACATTTAAACTGGAAAACAGATATTAATACCAGGGCACTTTCTGTGTTTTAGTCACCTTTGGATCCCCGGTGTGAGTGCAGTATCAGGTACTTTATTAAGTTCCCTATTAAGGTCTCAGTAAGCGGAAGGAATCTGAGCATGCAAGGAACATGTCTTTAGTTCACTCCGGTTATAAGGCCACACTGCACAAGGCCCTTAAGGGGTGAGTTGAAAAGGCTTGAGACCTGCCTCCTGCCTTTAAGGAGCTCCATCGGAGTGAGGGAGGTGAGGAAATTGATGCACCGGGGGAAGTCAGTGTATCATGGAAGATAAGGTTCCAAGTCCACGGGGTGGCGCTCTCTACTGAGAGGTTGGAAAGGCCGGGAGAGTGGGGTTTCTGCTGGCATCAGAGGGTGAGTGGGATTCCAAAACGTGGAGAATGAAGCAGAAAAGATCGGGCAGCTGTGGGTCAAGGGAAGCAGGAGCTGTAGACCTGCAAGGTCAGGGAGATACAGCTGAACAGATAAAATAAGAAGTGTCCTGGTGGGCGTAGGGGTCTGTAGCATTAGGAGGTGTGGAAGGGTCAAGGAGCAGCTTCTGCTCGCCTATTCAATTTTGTTGACAAGGTAGCATTTGACCTTGACCAACTGGAGGGATGCAGTGGGGAGGGGTGCCCTTGGTGGCAATGGAAAGGTGTGGGCAAAGTGTGGTTCCTGACATGCAGCATCCAGGAACTTGTTAGTAAGGCAAATCCTCCACCCCACCCCACATCTGCTGATTCAAAAACCCCAGGGGTGCGCCCCTGCTGGGTGTGTTTTAACAAGCCCTCCAGGTGACTCTGATGTCTGGCCTAGTGCGGTCAGCATGCAGAGAGTGTCTGAGGGGGCCAGGCAGGCAAGGTGGGCTGGCGTCCGATTGCAGGATCCTAAATACCAGATTCTAGAATTAGGGCATTTTCCCTGTACCATTGAGAAGCTACTAAAAGTTTGTGACCATGAGTCATTTATTCACTCATTCATCCAGCCAATATTTATTGTGCACCTTCCATGTGCCAGGCCCCATACTGGGCACTGGGACCCAACAGAAAACACGCCCATGTTACTTCAGGCCAGTGTTTTAAGTGCGAGCTTATCTGTAGACGAGATTGCTATTGCCTGTCTTTTTTTAAAATCTGATTTACTAACGGAACAAACACCTATTACGCTCTCCAGAAACAACTCTGCTGCTTGTCTCTGCCAACAGAAGTTGTTTGGCTAAACATTTACTAAAGTTTCAAACACTAGTGATGGGAACTGATGGAGAGAAAACAGCTTTCAGATATAAAATAAATAAGTCCTGGGGATGTCATGCACGGTGCGGTGACCATAGTTAGTAATGCTGTGTTGTATATTTGAAAGTTGCTAAGAGAACAGATCTTAAAAGTTCTCATCACAAGAAAAATATTGTAACTATGTGAGGTGAAGGAAGTTACCTAGACTTATTGCAGTGATCATTTCACAATATATACACATATCGAATCACTATGTTGCACACTTAAAACTAATACACTATTATATATCAATTATATCTCATTAAAATTCTTTTTTTTAAATAAAGGGGTGGGGTCAGTGGGAGGAAGCATTTTCCTTCAGTCTGTGCTTCCTGCCAGAGAGCTGCATTTTACTGAGTTCTCAGATGGACCTGCAGCCTTGGACTTTTGGACTGTGAGGGCCAATTAGCTCCAGGTGTTCCAGGAAGCTGTGTGCCCAGAGGGTGGGGCGGCGAGGGGAGGGGAAGAGAACGAAGGCGGCAGCTGTTGGGGACTCGGTCCTGTTCTCCCACATCAATTCTGCTAGTTGCTCTCGAGGAAACTGGAGCTTGATTTCAAAGGCAAACAGGTGTTTTCATCTGAGTTCAATGAAACAGCTAATGTGCTCTTCTGGAAGGTCAGACATCCTCCGGACAACTTTCAGTCCTCTTTACTGTTTGGACAAGGGCCAAAGTGGGGGTGAGGATGGGGAGGTTGGAGCGCCTCTGGCGTCCCGGTCTCAGGCCACAAGGCTCCTATCGCTTCCCACCCGGCTGACTGAGCCTGGTGGGCATGGCCCTCCACTCGGGAGAAACCAGCTAAGGCGAGCGGCGGTCGCACCAGGTGGCAGGGGACAGGATTCGGAGGTGTCCCAGGGCTATTCCAGTTTGAGCTTGGGCTCTCTGGCCTCTAAGAAAACAAAGACGGCTTTCTGATCTTCCCTAAACCCTCCGTCTCCCAAGTCAGCACCCTTGTCAGGACCTCGGAAAGATTCCAATTCCTCTCCTACCCCAATAAAGCAATAATCGTTCACTCCTTCCACTGAGCAGTTCTCAGTTCGCTCCAAGTCAGAGGAAAGGACCAGGAGGGAGAAGCTGAGAAATTTGTGTCCAGCATTGCCAATGCCACCAGCCCTACGTCCAGTTTCCTTGTCCCATGTGTGATAATACAACAGCAGCTTGATGCAAGGCCCCCTCCTCATTTGCTTCCTGGGGATTGTTTATTGGAGACCAGCATTTCAAAGAGCGAGCGCCAACTTTAACATATCCGTAGGCAGTGCACTGTCAACCCCACGGTAGATCTTTTTTTTAAGAAATTACATTACAGAGGGGTGGGTGGCAGGGAGGAGAGTGGGTATTATAGCTGCGGGAATTTTTTTTTTAAAGACCCAGTTTAAAAAAAATCTCAGACTTAATTTAGTAAATTTCAATTACAAGGAGAGTTACTAAGCTGAAAATCATTTGCATCGTATCCTTAATTACCACTTCATTTGTACCTGAGATCATCAATAGAGATTCTTGGGAATGCGTAGTCAGAATAAGTGGTGGATTCTAATGAGGTCTTTGTTCTTCCTGAGTCTCTCTTAGGAAGCTCTTTCCTCCCTCTGTGCAGAGGCACAGCGTTTTCCAAACTGGGTGGAGACGCCTTAAATTAGAAGTGGAGCGTGTGAAGAAATCGAGAGGTTTTCAAGCTGGCTTCACCAGGGGGAGAGAGGATGCCACACCCCACCTCCGGCTCTCTAACAGCTCCTCCTCAGGGTTTTATTCCTCTCCCCTTGAATGCATTAGTTCTGCTGGGCTGCTGTGGACGCATTTGCTCCTGTGCTGGCCACAAACATCCATCTTTATTAGCCGGCAACAGAGCAAATAGCCTTTCTGGGCCTTCCTCTTGCAAATAATGGATGTGCTGCCATCGATCTTCCTGCTTCTGTTTTTCCTGCTTCCTCTAAAGAAAGTGCATCCAGCAGTCCCTGGCCACTGGGTCTTTATTGGAAAAGCTGTTTTCCAAGATCAGTTAGCTCTAAAAAAGTGATGAGCCCTCAGAGACTGCGAGAATGTGTGTGTGTGTGTGTGTGTGTGTGTGTGTGCGTGCGTGTGTGTTAAGATACACTTTGTAAGAGACGTCTCTCTTTTTGGATGGCGGGGTAGGGGGGCAGTAAGGAAAGGGCCAAGTGAATAACAATCTCTTAACTAAATCCTGCTAATGCCCACTGTTCGTTCCTTCATATGCTACCCCCGACCCTGCAGCCTTTACAAAGCACTTGTTCATCTATTACCTTGTAGGTAATTTAAAAATTGCCCTCATTCTACAAATGAGGAAACTGAGGCTCAGAGAGGTTAAACAACTTGCCCAAAGTCACTCAGCTGGGGGTGACAGACTGAGGATTTAAGTCCAGCTCTCTTAATCCTGTGCTCCTTCCAATACCCCAAACCACCTCTCACGGGCTGCCGGCAGCCTGGACATTGACCCCATTTGTGGAGGTCGGCGTTTGTATCCTGCTACAGTGTGTTTCCCATTTAAACTTTATTTCTGAATCTGTATATTTAAGCAACAATTTTGTTTCAGAGGACTCCAGAGAGTGGCCTTACTTAACCTTCCTCTGGAGGTATGTGTATTTGGTGGAGAGTGGTGAAGGGGGTGGGGGAGGAGGGGAAGGGAGGAGCCAGCAGGGAATTTTCTCAGTTTTCCACTGGATGAGGCCAAGACCCAGGGAGGCAGACAAATCCACGATTCTCCTGGCATTCTGAACGTTTGCCAAATCCCTGCTCTTTGCTCTCATTATTCCTCTGGGCTGGTTCCAAGTGTGGCATGCAGTCTGTGGAAGTGTTTGTGTTGGGGTTGGAGGCAGCAGGACTGATGCTGTGAGGAAGGAGGGTGTTAACACCAAGAGTCCAGCCAAGCCTTGGGGTCACAGGGACTGGTCCAAAGTAGGAAGTGTCCTGTGAGCTGGAGGGGTGTTTGTCTCCTGCAGAACCTCCTGGATACGGTAGCTTCCTCTGCACTAGCTGGCTACCCCCTCATGGTGCAGATGGAATACTCTGGTGAAATGAACAAAAGATTTGAAACTAAATAACTGGGTTCAAATCCCACCTCTGCTTATTAGCTGACAGATCCTGGGTAAGTCACTTAACCTCCCCAAGGATCAGTTTTCTTACATATAGAATGAGAATACTAACATCCACTCTCTGGGCTGTGCTGAGGTTTAAATGAACGATGTACAGCAAAGAGCAAATGGTGGCTTTGATGAGTAGATGGTTTGAAGCAGCCAGGAAGGGGGAGGATAATAAAAGGAGACTGCTTGTCCCACAAAGACATTAGCAAGGGGTAGGAGTGGGTTCAGTGATGAGACAGCTTGCAAGGACTTGTGTAAAGAGCCCATATGCTGGCTCTGGGGGAACACTGAGAACCTAGTTTGAAAAGCATAAAAGTCATAAAATAGCACCAGTATTTTTTTCCTTAGTGTGAGCAAAAATATTCAAGCAGACAAACCCAAGCCAATCTTCTGGGAATAAGACTCTAAATATTACTTGAGAGTCACCTCAGCTTCCTTCCAAGAGAAAGACACCCCCATTCCTTCACCCCACACCCTCATCTATGACGCATTAGAATTGTAACTTTTCAGCTTCTCCCACCAAAATCATAGACCCTCGTCGTGGGCTTGAGGACAACCCTGTGCTCTGTACTGTGTTTCCTCAGT